TTATTATTATTATTATTGTTATTATTATTATTATCACTGTAACTATTACTGCTATGATCAATGTCGTCTTTATCGTTATCTTTTTTGTCGTCGTCATCAGCAACAGTTACACTGCATGCTCAAACTGTTGCGCTGTAAGATGAATGCAGCAAGGAATTCAAGAAAGAAGTTTGCTAATGCAAAAATAAAAAAAGCGATAGATTTTAAACTCAACAATGGATTAACACATTTGAAAATACATTTTAATGCAAAAATCCTTTTGTAGTTGATCGGTAAAGGTAGTATTGATAAAGGTAACAACTATATAATGATAGAAAAAAAAGGGAAACTTTTTTCTTTGCTGCAAGTAACTTAAGATGAACATTAACTAAAATTTCACATTCCATAAATACGTTGAAGGGTAAACGATGAGTGATTATTGTCTGTGATTATCGTTATCCTGAAGCGTGACGCTGACAACTTATGAAAGCAGCATATAAGGGGAAAATTGCTGACAAAAGTGATTTCAGCCTGGGTCCCACAATGAATGGCATTTCAGTTGACATAATTTTACTAAAACCCTGCTTTCGTTTTGGTGTAACCAGGAATATTCAAATAAATAAATAAAACGCTCTAAAAAAGTTACACTGAGAAACTGCAGTGGAGCAGACATTTTTTACTTTCCTGGTTTTTCCTAATTACCCAATAACACCTACACTCACGACTTCTTTACCAGCTAACGCACTTTATCATCTGCATAACTCAAGAGACCTTTGAATTACTTTTTCGTGTCATGAAATGCTTGCAAAGACAAATGTTTGAGTTAAATAGAAGTAGAATGTGAAAGGAAAAAGTGAAATTCATTATTTCATAAAACAACTAATCAACCTTGATTGACATATAACTGAAAAAATGTTCTCTCGGAAAATTGACTTGATAAATTTTTAAAGAGAGTTTTTTGTATCCAACTTCACAAACGCAAATACTTTTTCCTTTCTTTACTTTCAAAAACTAATAACCCCTGTTAAAATAATTAATTTTTAAACTGACACAGAAAGAAGTAAGTTACAAAAAAACTTTTGTAAAATGGCTTTTAATAAGCATCAAAAATATCTAGTTAATTGTTTACAAAACAATAAATTGCTGTTGTTCCAAGTTTCGTCAAAATAAAACATGAAAGAGAGCTTGTAGAAAATACAACTTATTGTAAGTAATGGTAAGTTTAAAAAAAAATTTTTTTTTGTTAACTGCAGCTGTTCTAATCTTTTGCTGCATTCGTTACTGTCAATTTAAATAATATAAAATTTAGTAAATTTATTTGTTTGTTACTCAAAAAAAAAAAGCAAATTAAATCAAATTAGCTGAAGAGACAGTTTTATTGTTAAAAAATGTTCATTATGAAGAAACATAAGAGTATGTTATAAGTACCTCGTCAAAGGAAGTTATTAAGAAAGTGTGAACAAAATATTGGAAAGGGAGGTAACGCAAAAGCGTTTGACAAATTACTGACTGTACCTAATGGTGACTGCCACTGACTAAAATTGTATAGTAAATAAATACATTTTTATCAATATAAAGCCATCACAAACTTTCTATATACTTGTAAAATTCTGCATTTATTTTTTGTATATAATGATCAAATATAAAATTTTGTAAACAAGCATACGAGTTTCTCTCTTCTACAAAACTTAAAGAGCAAAGATGAAGGATTGTAAAATACCTGAATTAGACAGCTTCACTGACGGAAAAGTTGTAGTGAAAATGTTGAATTATTACGTCACAAAGAGTGTAACATTCGATTTTGCATATCAAATACATTGGTAATAAGTGGAAATAGAGAATTCTTAACTCATCTTATTAGTTTTTTACTTTATAAGTTTATTGGCAGATATGAATTGTTTGCCACAGACTTTACACAGTCACAAGCTCAGCTTTTTTTTCCGTTTTTTACTAATATGATATAAACTATTTAACAGATTTAAAAACTAGTAAAGTAAAAATTTTAGATGTTGATAACCCAAGTGAGACAGAAAATCAAACAAACAACACTTCTAAATTAAATCGAAAAAAAACTAGGCCTGATGCTTCTCCAGATGCCTATAGCGCGAATCCCATACAACGACTCAAAGAGTAGGTATTTTCACTGTAGCCTTCAGAAAGTGTTCAAAATAAACCGAAACCTAATAGATACCTGTTCAGACCTCAATAATATTTTAAATTAATTAAGTTTAGATTTTAGTTGCTGGGTAGTTTTTACTCTTCAAAAAAAACAAAACTTTTTAAAATTGTTTTTTTTTAATACTGCTGTAAAAAGAATACTGCAGAGAAGCTGAAGAAGGCCGAACTTTGTATCCTTCGGAAATCTCAAGCGAAAGTGATGCTATTGTCTTCACCGATGGTAATTTTTTACCATAACCATTTATGAATAACAAAAAAATTATAATCTCACAAAGCAGTTAATTTACTGCTCTTAATGAGAACCTTTTTGATGGGTTTTTTGACCATTACTTTAGACGTAATGAAGACGGAAGGTGTTTTAACCAGAACATTATTGTTTAGTGTCTGAAGCAAGTTGCAAACTTACTTTCAAAGTAGAACAAAATAAACCTAGCGTTTCACAGGATTCCATTTCTTTGAAGGCTTCTCCCGAAGGTTCTCAGACTTTTTTGGAGGTTCGTTGCAATTGAGTCGTTTTTGCAAATACAAGATGATGTCTACAATTATCTTTGTTTGCGGATAGTACAAACTGATTTTTCTTTTAGACAACTTTGTTGTAAAGTTTAACAGAAAAAAGCAGTGTTTGAAGTCTATTAAAGCGATGATTTTTGGATTTAGCCAAAAATACTACAGTTTTTAGGAGAACAAGCAGCCTCCAGTCAGTTCGTATAATGCATTTGAAGAATTGCTCATGATCGAAAAAACATTTGCTCAAAATTTAAAAATTATTGTTCAGGTATCTATAATATTTTTAAATAGATGTTTGATAAAATAATTTATCAAAAATTTGAGGTTGATTTATGTTTTTTATGACAATATTTATTCACTGTTCATTTTAGCTACTCAGTTTGGTAAACCACTATTAGAGTACAAAAGATTCACGAGAATCATATAAAAGCATATTTGAACTGATGTTTTTTTTTCAGAAATTCTTTGATTCAGATAGCCAACCTATTTCAAAATACGGTCGTTCATTAAGCGACCTACATTTATTGCTCAAAACTCTTCGGAATTTTCATCAGAAATTTGCCAACGAACTAGAAGAAAAGTTAACAAGATGGTAGGAAATTTATCAAATGGCTTTTAAAGTACTTTTTGAAGAAACTCTTTTAAATATACTAATCATCCTGTTTTGGGCAATTTAAATACTGTTATACTCAGGTGTTCTGAAGCTAATGTATGCTGCAGTAGTATAGCAGCAAATCTATGCGAATTACTGTTATGTTCAGTTCACAACGTTATTCAACATTATCGGTGAGATGCCCTGTTTCTTTATCACAAAGCTTTCTGATACCATTACTTTATGACGTTAGAAGTAAAATCCCTCCGAAAGTTATGGTTGTAATTTGCGTTAAATGAGTTTACTGCTGTTGCAGAAATTTGATTCAACAAGGCCCAGTATACATTGCTGCCATTGACGAACTGAAACGGACAGACAAGTCCTTTGCTAACAAAGTTCGGTAATCGAGGAATTACTTCTTAATATTACCGCAATCAGAGCTTTTTTTAGAACATAAAGCAGTCTAGTGTTTATGACAGTTATATACTAAATTGTTCTGATTATCACTGCTGTTAGCATGTACCTTCACAAACACTTTATAGTGACATTTAACACTTGTTCATTTATCTATTTTGTGATCAGTTTGATCCTGGCAATATTTAGAGACTTCGAGAACGATCCAGCTTGCTACATAACGCTGGAGTGGTTATTAGTAAACGCAGTATTTCATATGGTTGTCTGGCAAAATGTAACAATTTCTAGCAAAATTTGGTTATATTGTATTAGTTTTGATTATTGATGCAATATAATTTTAATTTCTAACTGTTAGCAAGTCACGTGAGTAGATATTAGTACAGTTAAAAACACCAGAGTTGACTTGATTAATTATTCAGAACTCCTACAGATTGAATAGGAATGGAGTAGCAAACACTACACTACACTGGGAAATTGAATACTGATTTCTGTATTGATGCATATTTTGTTGCATACTAAAGTATTAATGAAAATTTTTTTAGATTATGGGTCGAATTATTGCTGGTCTGTTAGAGGAAGGAGATGATTCAGCGCAAAACAAGCGCTTGACCAGTTGTCGAATTGCCATGGAAAAGGTATTAAAGTGTTTAAAAAACATTTTTAATTAAGTCATCAGAATAATGATCGAAAACCTCACATAGTACATAAGCGATGAGGCAAAGGTAAATTAAGAAGCCTTTCCTAGCGTATCATTCTCTTGTTGTTGTAATTTGACCTATAACTACAGAATCCTCAACCATCTTCTGCAAAATTCTCTTTTACCATACTCCGGTACTAGAACTTGTCCAGTTCGTTCCCATCGTAAACTTTTTTTTTAAAACCGTAAGAAATATATCTGAACTTCAAAAATTTTAGCAAAAGTGATGAATTTTTAGATTGCCACTTTTAATATGGAGACCAAATCAACTAGAGTTGGCTTAATTAATTTTGTAAAACTCCTAGAGATTGAGTCAGAAGTGGATGGAGTAGAAAACATTACACAATCAAATCGGGTAATTATTCCTATAAATTTTTCTGCAGCGGATAAATCCGATAAAACCACTCCTTTAGTTTAGAGTGACAACGTTTATCAGCATTATTTGACAGAAAAAAGTATAAATTTTGTAGCAGTTTGTTCGTGAAGGATTTTTATGCCGATGGAGTAACAATAAGTTGGTTCCACATATACTCATTGCATTTAATGATGTTTTGCTGTACGGAAGTTTGCCAGGGAAAGAAAGCAATTTTTTAATCAACGGAATTATACCACTTCGGGATGCTCAGGTAACGTAATAATTTTAAAACAACGGGAACTTCAAGCTGTGGTTTTAAACACTTTGAATTTTGTTGTTTTAATCAATGGGTGGGAGAGTTATGTCACGACCCTAACTTTTCAAATGCCAAGAATCTAATAACTTTCCTTGTGAAATATTTAAAATACTATTAACACATGCTTGTCCAGAAATAATTTTTATCCAATCAAAACAGGTTGAAGAAGGAGAAATCAGTGATTTAATGACAGATTCCAAGACAGCTTTTGTTATTTGTACATCAAAAACCACAGCTATATTTTCTGCAAATTCGAACTACATAAAAGAACTATGGAAAGATGATATTCGTAAAACAATAAAGGCAGTGAATGAAACTAAAATGGAGCAGCTTCCTCAACAAATATCTGTCAAATTCTTCGGTAACACCTATACGCCCTATTAAAATCAAAACACAATATATACTCCTCACATTTAAAGTGTAACCAGATCATCCTAGTCAGAATCGCCTCTACAACGTTTGTTAACTCAAATAAGCGTAATTTTAGACGCTTCCTTTAATGGGCACATTAATAGTTGACAGCAACTCATTATGAGCACACTCGATCTTTTTGAAAGCAAATTAGGAAATAATGGCAATGCTTTTTGTACAAATTTTTCGTGAGATGTGGTTTAGAACAAGAATCTCATGTTTTTGCCTTAATTTTGATAATACAAGATTAATTTTAAAATCCCCTTTTTGACTCAAACATATGCACTGAGATGGTAAATTTAAAAATTTGAAATACATTTTTCCCTAATGAATATTTCAAGGCTTTGATGACCCGACCTCAAATTCGCTGAAAACTTTCAACTTGGAAAAAAATACGTTCAAGAGTACTGACACGCTTAACCAAACAGGCAAGTATGAGCAGGTCATTGAGAATAGTCAATGCGGATATAATATTGTGCCTTCTTCATTGAACTCGTTTTTGCATCACAAAACTTGTTTGAAGAATTAACTCTTTTAGTAAGCAAGGAGTCAGATAAAATTAGCACCTTACGGTTATGTTGGCACAGAAGAACGACTATCACGGCCGACGCCTTGATAAAAGTAATTTATTGCGTTTACTTTCTGTCATCTGTTGATGGTATAAGAATACAATGACGCTCTTAAGCCCTACTTCTCTTCATTAGACATTTCAGGCAGCAACAAATCAGATGTCAGGTTATCTGTTCCGAAAATACAGAACATCAACTGGTTGGCAACGCCTATGGGTGGTTCTTGCAGCTTTTACACTTTTCTTTTACAAAGAATATTCGGTAAGCGGAAGCCAAGATAAAGAGCACTAACTTGAGTATATTACCATATAACTATGTGATTATGATAACTGACTGACACACATCTAAGTCCTCTTTTAGGACGATATACCGTCAGCCAATTTGAACCTCATTGATTATAACTTGTCTTTACCTTGGGTTAGCGATAGGGTGACTATGGACAACGTTTTCAAGCTGTCATACCTGAAGCACTCCTATTTCTTCAAAACCAAAGACAGTTATCAGTTCAGTCGGTCAGTCAAGCAAAATCTCCAGATTTTACAGAACGCAAATGCAAAAAGTTTAAACTGCTGATACTTTTGAGGCTGTGCATCAATGGCAACAGCACAAACGACAATCAATCCATGGAAATATTTTTTTGAACCTATACAGTTTTTAAGTTTTTCAGATGGACAGAGGCAATACGAATAGCCACACAGAATGGATCCTCAACAGACATCTTTCCTAATTTGATTCCAAGAAGTATTTCATAAAACGACTTCCGTTGTGGCCAGGAGTTTTAATCAAAGTATAACATTTAAGAGTTTTTAAATAATTGATTTCATCTACTTAAAGAATGGATCTGTATTGCTCATATACCTAAGGACAAACTACACAATAAATAATTTATATGCTTAGCACAAGCTGGCAAAAGTTCGAAACGCAAATATATATTGGATCTGGATGAAAAGAGAGGTAATAAAGGAAACAAAAATGAAAAAATTTTGAAGAAAAACTAACTTCTTTTCCTGCTGCATTTTCCATCTACCCAGACAGAAAAGCATTAATAAATTGAAATTTTTTTGGGATTCGTTTTTATTTCTACCCTATACCCAATGGATCGCTAGGGAGTAGAGCAACAAAGTCTTACTAGTCAATAAGAACGATTAAACTTCAAAATATTTTTCATTTAAGTTCAAGGAGAAGCGGTAGTAAGAGTATTCGCTATATCTTTTTAAAAAATTACTCAAAGCAGAATCCAAAAAAAACTGAGTAAAAATTATTCAACAAATTTAGTTTTTTTCCCATTTACCTTACACCATCAGAAAAACTCCGGAAATTCTCTTTAAGCGAGTCAAGTATTACACGTTTTCCAGTGGTTAAACCACATTATTTCCGGAATTTCTTCAATCCTCAAATAACTAATCCTTTTTTCGACACTAAAAAGTGAATCTATGAAAGCCTGAATAAAAATGTAAAGATAAATAAAAAATTTTAGAGAATAAATTTACATAATGTGTATCACATATAAAGCTGTTAAGAAGTAGTTATGGCGAGTAGCTATGAAGCAGAAAGTAGACAAATGAAATACCAGAATTTTATTAGGAATCAACAAACTAAAAAATTGAAAAAATTTGTTCAATTAATAAACAGTGTCACTAATAATACACAGCCATAATTAAAATTTGCAGCTATTTACTTTGGTGGTGTAAGGTAAAGAAAGACTAATCGGAACCAACTCGGAAAACGTAAAAAGAAAACTGTAACTTGCTTACTGTTAAAAGCGAAAAATAGTAAGAGGCTCAAGAGTGAAAATATGAAGTAAACACAATTGTACTTATACAGCCAAACACTGTGATAAAAGTTCCAGCAAAAACGATATCCCTATGATCAGTGTTCCCAGTTGGAATGATTATTTCAAATGGCATACTAGATTCTGGCTTTATGCTCATCCATTCACACCACTTTTTTGAAGAGTGGTGACATGGAGCCTGCAAAAAATGTCTAATTGAATAAACCATATAAGATACATTTAACATTTCAGAAATAATCAAACTCAAGACTACTGATCAGAAAAATAAAAAAAAAATCGAAAGCTGAATTACCTTTGCCATATGTTTTTTGCAACTTGCATTCTCCAAAAAAGCTGTGTTATCTTCGCAACGTAGAAGAATAAGTGGAGGATTGAACAACACAGTCGCTGTCTCTACATACGTAAAATAAATCAAGATTAGACAAAATAATGCATTTAAAAGTACCTTGGATTAATAAAGTATTTTTACGAAGAATGGCCAATAATAATGGGCAATTTGAGGCCCTTAAAA